GAAACTTTTAACCAGCAGTCCATACCAATCAAAAAATCACCTGGAAATGTTCATTTTTTTTTTTACATCACAGGGAAAATCTTATGCTATAAAGCATGAAAGGCTTTGATTTTAAATTGGAGAATTATATACAGTGACCACATAGGCAAAAAGAGAAAGAAGCAACGGTCACAAAAATTTCCTTTGCAAATGAAAACCCCATCTGATCTCCAATTTACCTCTGAGTGTTTGGTTTACATCTGCAACTGAATGCAAAAACTAGTGCTTAGGAATGTCATAGTCTGAAGGCAAACTGTGATACTACGACTTTGCAGGAATGTTTATTTGTCGAGGAAACACCAGACCCCAAAGCATTCCGTATAAAAGTGGGGTTACCTGACAGACCAAAGAGTCTCAAAGGCAGGAGACAACGGGCTTAACTGGTGGAAGTGTAAAAAACAGGCAAGTAAAAACCCAGTTGTTACAGCTGTTAGACCAGATGTTTCAGACGTACATTGGCAACTGATAAACTCAGGATTAAAATTTGCTATGTATCCTTACCTGACCAAAAAAGGAAAATAAATAGTGGTGTTTCTAACATATTTCAAGGTAGCAAATCTTTTGATGTATAGAAATAAAATCTTACAAATCTGCCTTGTAGAATTTATAATTAAACTATTTTCTTATGTCTTTTTTTTTTTTGTTACTGTAATGAACTCATTTTACAAACCTTGAAATCTGGGTTACAAACTGCAATTACATTTCAGCTAATGATGGAAGCCTAGTTCAGGTTTATATTAGCAACACTATGGTAAAATACTACAATAGAGACCATTTAAACTTTATAAAATGTAACAGAATATATGAGAGAGACATGTGGGCTTAATTTTCCATTCATGCAGATGTAGTTCCTTAGACTTCCACGTCTCATCTACAACTATGTGCAAGAAGAATCAAGCCAATATACTCTACAGGACAACATATAGCTTTGGGTGTTTGACTACCAGACTATAAATAGATTATAGTCTACTTAGGCTATGATTCAGCTCCAGAAGGATTTTAATCTCTGCTCTCAGTGGAAGCTGAGATGAACATTGACTCTTTTAATCACATTTGCTTTTTGCAAATTAACCTCTGTCACAAAATGAACAGAAAACAAGACATTTGTATATGTATTTCTATACACATATGCTCATGTGACAAAACATTAGCAGGCTCAAATCCCATTAGTTATCAAATATTGAGACATTATTATGAAACACAGGCTCATTACGTGAATAGTAAGTAACAATAACAAATAATTATTCATTATCTGAAACGTTAAACACAGATCAATACCCATAATGGTTAAAGAGTTTGCAGCATTTGAACTGTAGGGATCTTCTGATCTCAAATGCACATGAACCAGAGGAAATCTGGTTTATTTAGCCTAATTACTTTGTTATGAGTGATATAAGAACCTGGTCCAAAATCTATGCTATGAACTGGAAAGTATTCAGGTTCCTAGAAACCTCAAGCAATGTAAGTTTAACTGCTTGAAGAGCAAAGTATTTGCTTATGGCCTGAACACACATTCACACCTGTTGTTGGAACAGTTTCCAGTAACGGAACTGGTTTATCACCATAAGTGTTAATACTTCATTCCTTTTTCTGCTAATCCCATTTTCTGTTTTATTTTAACTGACTGCAAGATTGCTACAAAGTTCAGGGTCCTGTTGGGCCTTAAAGCTTTTGTCAGTTTTCAGCATTTATAACTACAGCTCACATTGTGCTGGTTACTCTAAGAATCTGTTTGAAACACAGTCCAACGCTGACCTTTTGCTGAAGTAGGGTCAATGTAAAGGTTTTGTTAAAGGAAAAGTTAATGTATTAATAATTGCACTCCCAGTTGAACGCATATGCAAATAAATATCTATGTTTTACCATGTGTGCTAAGGGATCTTTTTAAAACCTGCAGTTATTAAGGTGGAGGCAACTTTTTTCCACTCTGGAGCAAAACTTCGTTTAACTTCATTTTTATGGAGCTCTTGAAGGAGGCAAGGTTCAGTTTCATTTTAACTATGGGCCTTTTGTGGCTCATAGTGCTGCTCACAGCAGACCAGCTGACCCCCAAATCATTGATTTGAAATTTAAGCAGACTAGAGTTGAGCCTTTAAATTATATAGAAGATTAAAGATTTTTAAAAATGAGGGATCCTCTGCTGTTACAGTCTCTGGACTAGCTCACCCTCTGAACTCCTCTCTGGGACTGCAGGTTGTGGAAAGACCCACTGCTCCTCCTGCTCCTACTCCTGTGTTTGCATTGCTGAGTCCTGCCTAACAAAACCATGTCTTACATACAGTAGTGATTCCTGACCTGTCCCTCTCCTTCCCTGGTCTCCAAGGTCCTCCAGCCCCCTTGCATGTGTAGTGCCTGCTGTGCATGAGGAGCTCTACCAGCCCTGCCAGCTAGAGTGTACACCTCACCCAGTGTATCAAAACACAGACTTTTATCTATGCAATATTACTAAATATGCTCCCTGGGGTGTCATGAACCCAGTACAGCACACCGGCTTGGAGGATATTGAATTTATTTCCCATGATGGAAGAGGCCTTATATCTCACTTGGGGTTTTATGCTACCACTGTACCCCAGAGAGATGAGGTAATTTCTTTAAGAATAATCTCATTGCAACAACATTTGAAAGAAAAGAAATGAAAGCTGGTTTTGAAAGTAGTAACATTTTAATTCAGCCATTTAAACATAATGCTCCCAGTACTGAGATCCTTCGTCATCCCAGATTCCTACTAAAGTCAGTGGTGGGGGGTTCATTTGTAAAACACATACCCTCAACCATATCTAAACAGGTCAGATGATTTAGTTTTCATGGAGGAGAAAAAAAATATGGAAGAAATAAATTTGTTATTTTTTATGAAATATGCAAACCTGCAATGTCCAAAATGCAGTAATTGAAGTACTGCATCAGCACCAGGGAGAAGAGTAGGTCTTTTGTCAGTGCATGAGAATGGAGACCACCTGCTACTCCATAGCCTTGGTGTGGTTCCACTCATTTACTTAATGCCCAAGTCATAGAAATGGGTCTTTGTGGACTGATAAAAATCTAGGAAGGAATAATTGGGCAGGTTCTGTATGGTGCCAGTGTAAACTTCCAGCCAAGAATACTGAGTCTCCCTGCATAGGGTGCTTTATATGTAATAGTTTAATTACCCCTCATGCCTCCTTTAAGTAGTCTTAATTGGCCTTAAAACCAAGGTACCCGAAAATGACGACCCTCTTGTGAAATCCCTGGCCTAGATTATTTGGCAGCAAATATGCCAAAATGTTCTTTATATGTTCTCAAAATACCGTACGGCTGGTTAGTATCCTCAGCATTAGTGTTTCTGCTGATTAAAGGTCCTGTGCTGAGAAATTCCCTCTCCTCTGACATATTTTATAATATTTAGCACTCAGTGCTTTACAGTATCAAAGCATTGTATGCATGCTATCTAATATCTCCTAATTAACTCATACATCTATTTAAAAAGCATCTAAAATTAATGACATATGGTGTTGCTGGCTTTTATACAACACATGCAAACTCAGCTTTTGGGTTTTACAAGAAACGTGGATAAGCCGAGATCCTTTTCTGAAATCTGACAAATGCTTCACCATCTCTGACTTTCAACAGAGAGGAAATGAACAACAAAGCAAATTGGATCCACACAATTAAAGATCAGGGACTGAATGCGCACACAAACATCAGCATGGGCAAGGACAAATCTACAACTTTCAGAGCCAACATTTTCAGTTCCTTAATTAGGTACACACCAATTACACGGGTTTCCCACAGGCTTTGCTCTCAAGATCTCTAGAATGCATGAGAAACAAGTAAAGTCTGTCATTTTGGTATCCATCAAAGCTCTCTTCCATGTAAGGAACTAGCTAATTTGTCATTTCACACTCAAAAAGGCGTGAAAGGCAAAACGGAGGGAGGTTAGATGGAAGAGAGGAAAGGGGGGCTATAACTCATGAGAAGAGACAGTAGGCCTGATTTTGAGCTTGTGTTTGTTGCTGTATATCATGAATAAATTCAATGAAATCACAGTGATGTAAAGTAGACAAGAATGTGGCCAGTGTTTCCTCCTTATATAGAAAGATTTACACTATTAAAACCAAAATATGAATCAAAGAACAAGCAACACTTTACAAAGGAAATTATGGCACATTTCTAACTTACAAGTTTTATTTACACATGGACATCTTTTGTTTCATTTAATTATAATAAAAGTATTCATTCCAACAATGCAAATTTTCAACTTAAAAATACATAAGACCTTTGGGAGAAAATCCCAAAGAACACACACATCTGAGGAATGTCAGCTCTGTGTCGAGAGCACTGGTCTCAGCCACTAAGTATTTTCCCTCATCGTCTTTCATTTTAGCTTTGTTGTTGTCTTTTATTTTTCTTTTCCTCTGCATAAAATGAAGCTAGCAAAGGGCCAGAGAAACAGTCAGAGTAAACCTTTGGAGAGGCAGGAGAAGGTGCAGGCAGGAATCCCATTATTTGTTGATAGGATTTGTGCACATACCTCCCATGGACCACTTAGGAAATTTACTCCCAAGCATCTCAGTGGCAGTTTCGATTAGAGTCAATATTTCATTTCAGCAGATGGACTGCAGACTGGTGGCTACACAAACTCTAATGAGTAAAGCTTCATAATTCCCCTCTCTTAAACTATGATTATGCTTTATCTTTTTTTTTTTATGGGGAGAATGAATGCTGTCTCTAAGCCAATCCTTAATTTGATTTTTTGCTGTGCCTCTCTGTGCTAGCAAACCCCACCCATATGTCTGTATATAAGCCCAATGGGTAAATTAGTGGGTATTTTTGCAGATCTGTCACACATTTCTACCATGCTTCTTATTCAGAAAGATGCCAAAGAAATAGAAATACATCTGCCCTCCCCTGAAATGTAGCCACCTCTGGGGTGGAATGTGGCAGCAAATATTAACATGGGAACACGGACACTAAATCCTATGCGAAAATTATGCAGGAAGTACAGAACACAGCTCACGTAGCCTAAGGCTACCCAGAAATTAGCTAAAAGTGAACGTCTTTTCTTTTTAATGAATGCATTTGAAATTGCTGCCTGGTGTGTGGCACTTCAATAAGGAACATCTCATTTAGTATCGAATCCCATTGTACAGTCTCATACAGATTAACAGTGATGGTGAGTTATCTGATTTCAGTAAGAAGGAGTACTAATTCATAGGCAAGATGCGCAAAACCAGAACACAGTATTTTTTCTTCCACCACGGAAAATGTCCTTTCTTTAAATAGCGTTTACAAACTACGTAGACGGTGGCCTCGCGGGCTCATGGTGCCTTCGGTTTCGCTTTTTTTTCATCTCCTGCACATGCTTCCATTTGGCACTACCTTTGTTCCGCTGCCGCCGCTTCTCCCGGTGCCACATCTGTTCACAGTACTCATCCAGGCTAAAGCTGGGGCTGCTGACAAGCTGGATGTAGTCCTTGTATCTCAACCGCGACTCCGTCAGCAAATCCCTCACTCGGCCCTCCTCATCCTCAGTTTTCTGAGTGCTTTCCATTTGCCCGTTTTCAATGACATTTAAATTCAGCTTTACAATAGTATGGACAAAGGTGTGCTCCTGAGCTTTGCAGAAATAGGCTCCCGCATCCTTTCTTTGCAAGCTGCGGATCAGCAGCCCATGTTCGGTTTTGATGATTCTTTCATCGGCCTTCAGCTGTGGACAAAGAAGAATGTGATAGTTGAGTTTCATCTGCTAAACCGGAACGTGTGTCAGTAATCTGTAATGTAACCAATACACCAGTGTGCTTTTATACCTCTGGAGCACTGAGGCCCTGTTACACTGAAAATTAATACTACTACTACTGATTTTAAAAGGGAAATGCTGTGATTCTGATCTTCCTTAACTGAATTTCACAAATGGAAGTTGATCATGGCTTTGACTTGCGAGATGTGATTAAAAGCACCTAACGAGATTAGATGAATATAACCAAGTACAATCCTTCTATTGCTAAGATATGTGAAGAAGAACTTAAAAGAAAAAAAAGTACAAGAAAAAAAAAGCAAAGGA